CGGACTATGCAGCGCTCCAGGGCGGCGCCGAAGGTTTTGGTTTTGGCTTTGTCGATGATTTTGATGGCGACGGTGGCGTTGTCGGTTAATGAAATTGCTTGGTAGACTTTGGCGAAGCTGCCGCGGCCGAGAAGGCGGCCCAAACGGTACTTTCCAAGAAGGGTGACGGCGGTGGACGGCGGAGCTGTGCCTGGCTCCATGGCGGTAGAATTAAGAGGTCTTGTAACGAAGGCACTGGCATTTAGGTTTTTATAATGTATTCCCATCGGTTGCATGGAACTAGCTGTCACCCACTGTTCAAATTTCCAATTTGTGGCTACACTTTTACCAAAATACCCTTGCCTTGACTGACAAATAACAATCATGAATTTGCCACCGTAACAAATAGAACAATTGCCAAATTAGGAAAATATTTAGGTGCAGTAGCTGCGCTTTTTTTGCTGTTTGTTTTTTTTTTAAAAAAACTAGTCAATTCATTTTTTAAACTAGTCAAGACACACTCAACTTAATCAACTTTGAACTAGGTTTATATTGATAAGTAAAATACCTATAGTTTGCTAACTTATTTTACGTCGTTTATAACTAATAGATATAGAATTAGTGATAGATATTTAAAAATTTGACATATTTTTTTTTTTTTATTAATTTGGACTAAATTACTATATGTACAACTACTCTTAATAAGTACTCATAAAAGTTGTTGTAATTGAGATCATTTGTATTTGAGTCACGTAGCCAGTATTGTATGGGTTCCATCTATCCATTATGTCTATGAGGAAAGAAAATAATAACATTTTAATAAGAGATTCATGAGATGGTAGACGATTGAATATTCTTTGTGCAATAATATTTTAATCAAAACATAATTTTACTTGTACAGGTTTAAGTTTGCATGTCATTACAAGTAACATCAAAATTTATATGAATGTGTCTTAATTAAGTTCATTTACCTTTGTTTGGTTGAAAAATTGGGTGCATGCTAAATCTCCAACTCCTCTTATGGTGTAATTTCAACTCTTCACTTAAAATCATACATTATTTTATAAGTATAATTCATTCATATACTTTTAGAATTATATCTGAGTAATACGCAGTCAATAGTCATTGCATTTTTTACCCCTATAATATTCACTTGAAAGTGGGAATGTCCGAAGGATCTGAACAAAAACCAACTGGAAAAA